TTGTGTTCACAAATTGAGGTGTGTTTGGATGCAATTCCAAAGCAAGAATTCCCATCTTTAGCTTTCAGAGGGAGAAGTTTGAAATAAACACAAATGGCTTTTGTTAGAAGAAAGAGAAAGCTCTCTATTTGTCAAGGATGTTCCTTAAATGACCATGATTTTCTCTTCCTTTCCATATTTTCTGTTCTCTTTTGTGATGTACGAGGTTTTCATTTTGGGAGCCTTCCCTTTGGGCTTTATTTTGGAGTTTTGACAGTTTTTCTCTTTGTCTCATCTCCAGGCTTATTGGGACTTTTTCTCATTAGTGTAATTATTGACAAGCTACAGAATTACACTTCCCTTCCCCTCTTCTCTCCAAAATTTCTTTGCAGTCCAGCTGGCAATTTCCTCTTTATAGCTTGGAGAGGGTTGGGAGATACTTCTTTTTAACTTCTCATGGAAGGGAAGAAGGTCTGAAAATGGAATCATAGAAGGGTTAATTCTGTCCCCACTCAAATATGGTTTTCTTGAGATGAATATCAATAAATCCTGATATGGAGATCAGCAGAAATATTTACCATTTCTTTTTTGATCAAATAAAGGCTTTGCCTCCAATTGTATCATTTGCAAACTGCTGATCTCTGAACATGACAGGTTTGTCTGAGAGTTTGTCCAAATTACTAAACTTGCTCGGCATCAGAGCCGAGAATGTTTCCTCTCCAAGGCATAGAATGCTCTCATCAATTCCCAACTTCAATTTAAATGACAGGGTACAAATAAAATAAAAACAAAGTGGAATTTCCTTCAGATTTATCATCCATAACATTTATCAGGGCCTGGCGTCCTTGGAATTTGTGCAGCTGATGTAAATTTTACAATTATTGCTTAGGGAAGAATTATCTATGTAAGAAATATTTGAGGGCCCCTAAGAAAGATATAAACTGCTGCTCTGGATCTTTTATTTATGTTCATTATAAAAGAGAAGTTAGCAGGGTTTCTCCAGTAATGAATAGGAAATGCCTGATATGAGGCTGAGATGGCTTTTTCCCTGGTTAAATTTCCAGGAATAGCTTTAGGATTCCTTCCCAAACTGTGCTTGATGATTCTGTTGTAAAAAAGCCTCATTTTTAACCAGGCAAAGCAGTTTTCAAACTTTCCTGTGCTGGATTTGCATGAAGAGTATCCCTGGAAAATCAGTTGTGAATTAGGTGTATCTCATTATTTTAGGGAACCAATTCTTCAACGAATTTTAGGGGTATTTAATTATTTATGAAGACCTTTTTTTGTTGCTTCTCTGCCTCTTCTAGCATCCTCTACAAACCTCAGTGACTTTTCATAATTCTTTAAGAAATTTCTGAATTCACTTTACAGGACAGGTGGAGAGAGACTCTGTACAAGGGACAGGACACAGGGAATGGCTTCCCAGTGCCAGAGGGCAGGGCTGGATGGGACATTGGGAATGAGGAATTGTTCCCTGGCAGGGTGGGCAGGCCCTGGATCCCTGGCAGTGCCCAAGGCCAGGCTGGACACTGGGGCTTGGAGCAGCCTGGGACAGTGGAACGTGTCCCTGCCATGGCAGGGGTGGCACTGGGTGGGCTTTAAGGTCCTTTCCAACACAAACTGTGATTCCATGATTTTTATGTGACCTCAAAGCCCACCCAATCCCACCTCCTGCCATGAGCAGGGACACATTCCGCTATCCCAGGTTGCTCCAAACCCCAAAGTCCAGCCTGGCCTTGGACACTTCCAGGGGCAGCCCTAGCTGCTCTGGGCACCCTGTGGCAGGGTCTCCACATTTTTCCATATGTTCTGATCCAGTGTCAGGCTGGCAAGAGGCTCTGGTTTATCCCTGAACATGGGCAGTGATTATTTAGTCAGTGGGATTTTAGTGTCTGGTGACTTTTTCGTGATTCCCAGCAGGGTTGATGAAGTTGTTCCCAACCCTGCTCCGTGCTGCAGTTCAGGAGGAGCCCCTGTAATTCATTCTGGTTTGTCAAATAAGGGCTTTTTTCAGAACAGCCCATCAATCTGAGGTTGGAGCTTCAACAAATCTTTGGAGCCATCTAATGGGGATGTAAAAACGTTGGTTTTGGTCAATAATCTTTGATCACGGCACTTTCTGCTGTTAATGAGAGAAGTGCTGCCTCAAAGACACACAGGTGAGTCTCACTTCATGGTAAAGGTGGGCATTGCTGAGACAGCAGTGAGATAACAAATGTCTCCTGTATTTGGGTGAAATAGGGAGATTTTGAAGCATTTTTCTCAGTTTCAGGGTCTGTTACTGATTTTAAGGAAGAGAAGCCAGGGGGTTGCTGCTAACCCAGTCTGCTTTGAATGCTCCTTGTGATTTCACCCACTGTTGGTCATTTGCTAGATTGTGGTTAATAAAAAAGGAGGATTATTTGAAATATTGGTCTTATTACAGTGATTTCTGAATTCATTCACAGCTGATAATTTTCTAAGCTATGACTCATATAAAAACAGGGATTACTTGAAATGTTGGTCTTCTTACAGAATCTTATTTTAACAAACACAACTTTAGGGAGAGGAGCATTTGATAAAATTTCTCAAATTAATTCTACTATTTGGTATCTCATTAAGGTAGTGGGGTTTTTTGCTTTTGTTTTTTTTTTTTTCTTGCAAAATATTATTTCTTTGCAAAAATCTTGCCTTTTAAATTCAGAAGTGAAAATTTAAATATGACAAGTGGAGCACTGACCTGCATGGGTTGGCTGACAGGGAGGGTGCTTAAGATGAGTAAAAAATGGCCAGGAATGTGAAAAATACTGAAAATCCTTAGGCAACAGTTGGGAAAAAAAATCCCAAAAGTTTCTTTTCCTTCCTCCCTTTCTCCTTATAAAATCCTCTCAGAGAGAACAAAATGCTGCAGATGATCAACCACAGCCCGTGAAAATTATCTGGAATGAAAAGAAATCTTTTCCTAATAGGAATTCCTCCCTTAAGCCGTTGTTATTTAACACCATGTTGCCTCAGTTTATTAAATGTGAGGATGTTTATTTCCCTGAATTTCATGGAGCTGAGTTACCTTTGGAAAAGCTGATTTACATTCAGTGTGCATCACAGCAGAGCAAACGTTCTGGAGTGGTTTTTGCCTGGACAAGAAGGCAGAAAGTGCATTTTCCTTTTAGAAATGCAATGTGGGAATGGCAGGAACAATTAGCAAATAACTGGGGCTCAGTAAACAGAAGGTGCCAGCCTGGGAGCACCTTGTGCTGTCTTGGTTCAAAATCCTCTGGATTTTTGAATTTTTTTAAGTGGTGAGGAGTTATTTTATGCAGATGTTGAGAGCTTTTGGGACACTGAAATCACAGCAGCTGCATCTGGAGCTGGGAATTGCTGATTGTGATGCCAGTAGAGCACCAGATGATGCAGGTCTCCATTCAGACTTTTTGGTTAGGGTTTTGTTTGGTTTTGGTTTTTTTGGTTTTTTTCTTTATTTTGCTGTTTTGGGGGTTTTTGTTAAGGGAAGATGGTTGCAGGTTTCCCTATGAAGCCTGTGAGGTGCCACTTTTAAACAGGTTTGTTCTTCCTAAAGCAGAAGGATTTCTTCTGGGTTCACATCTGCCCAGTGTAATCCCTGTGAGTGTCCTGTCATAAACATTTTATGGAATCATGGAATTTTTATGGTTGGAAACGACCTCCAAGCTCATCAAGTCCAACCTGTGACCAGGCACCACCTTGTAACTAAACCACAACTGTGAAGTGCCACATCCTCTCACTTTTTAAACACTTCCAGGTGTGGGGGCTCCAAACCTCCCCTTTTAAACCTACCCCAAGGCCTGAGCACCCTTTGCATGCAGAAATTGCTGCTGCTGTCCAAGCTGAGCCTCCCCTGGCCCAGCCTGAGGCCCTTTGCCCTTGTCCTGTCCCTGTTCCCTGGCAGCACAGCCCGGCCCCCCCTGGCTGTCCCCTCCTGGCAGGGAGTTGTGCAGAGCCACAAGGGCCCCCTGAGCCTCCTTTGCTCCAGGCTCAGCCCCTGCCCAGCTCCCTCAGCCCCTCCTGGGGCTCCAGCCCCTTCCCCAGCTCCGTTCCCTGCCCTGGACACGCTCCAGGCCCCCCAAGAGGGCCCAAATTTCCCTCACAGGAATTTGATGCCAAGCATCAGAACACACAAGATGAAAGCTTTAAGACACTGAGTTGGATGATTTGATTTAAAATTCAATATATTGGACTCAATAAAATAAATACAACAAAGTGGTGTTTTGATCTGGAGCTCTCAGTCTCTGGGAGCAGAGAAAAGGGATGTGACTCAAGCCAACGCCTCTCCACCTTTTGGATTGGGAGAGAAAACTTCCATAGGTAGCACAGACATATTTTGTTGACATTTCATATCAAATACAGTTAATTCTGCTGTTCCCTCCTCCTGGAATGTTAAAATTGGGTTGCAAAATAGAACATCAGGGTGGGGTGGGGGGAGGATGATGCAGGAGGATGATACAGGATGATTGTGCCACTTAATCAGCTTAGTTAATCATCACTGTGGTGTGTTTTGGTTGATAAACCGCTAATTTTCTTTTCACATTCTGGCAAATTTTGGTATTTCCAGATTTTTCCCTCCACTCACAACAAATACTCCTTAAATTCTTGAAGTACTGTATAAAAACTAAAAGATAACTGATTTTCATGCATCTCTAATATATGATATATATAATAATATAATAATTTTAATATAATATATATAGATATAATATTTTTATTATATTATATTTTAATATTTATATATTATATAATATTTATATATTGTATATAAAATATATAATAATAATATAATAATATAATAATAGTTTTCATGCATCTCTAATATATGAGTCAGTCTGGGGCTTGTTTTGTCTTCCAAAAATTCAAAATAAACACTTGAAACACTTCTCTTTTCACAAAAACATGTTTAAAAAATTGATTATCTGCTTACCTGTGGTTCTGCCCAATAGGTAACAGCAGGGTTCTCACTGGGAAGCTGCAAAATAAAGAGAATTTCTTCAAAATGTTCTTTTTCTGCCTAGACTTCGACTGCTACTGTCAATATAGTGGTGACAGATGTCAATGACAACGGACCAGTTTTTGACATGTTTCTCCCCAAAAACCTCTCTGTGCAGGAAGAGGAAGCCAATGCTTTTGTTGGTCAAGTAAGGGTAAGTCAATAAAATTGTGTATTTTATTATCCAAGCTGTGCAGATGATGAGGAAGGAGCACAAAATAATTGTGCCTCAGACAAAAACCCATCCAAATACCTTCAGCTGAAATGCAAACTCTCCATTTGTGGCTACAAAGTCGCATTTGGGGGTTTAAAAATATTGGAATTGTTTTCTTCCCTGTGCTAAATATTGAACACACGTTGTCACTTAAAAATAGCACATTAAAAAGCTTGCTTTTTTGGGAAGTTCCACTGTAAATCTTGCTGGTAACAGATTTACAGGGTCAAAACAGTGTTGCCACATTTTTAAATGATTTGTTTTGAGATAGAATTCAAACGTGCTGAGCAAGTGATACCCGGGTGTAGGAAATTGTCACACCTAGAGGAAATTTTGAGGCCATTAAGGGGAAAATCAGTTAAATTCTTGAGTGAAATAATTGCTGACCTGGCATAAAAATAGGGGATAATGTAAATTTGAGGGTTTGAAGTTGTAAATTTTTATAACACATGGGGGTGTTCTGGATGAGGATTTAGTCTCTTGAAGAAAACATCACTTTTTTTTTTTTTTTGGTAATGGTTGTTTCTCCTGACTCAAGAGAAAGAAGGAAATATTAATTAGAGGGGTTTTCAATCCAGAAGTTGAATATAATGTCTCATATCTGCTGCACTAAGGTTGGATCCAGCAGGAACTGTAGGTAAAAGAGGAATTGGGAAGCATTTTTCAGGAATTTAGGTGGAAAATGAGCCTTTTTTTTTTTTTTTTTTTTTTTTCCCAGCAGCAACCATATCAAAAGAAAATGGGAGCTCCTTAAGTAGAAGCTTCAGAAATCAGGACATTTTGGGTACCATGGGAACCCAAATACCCATAATAATCATGTTCCTTCCCATCCTTATTTTATTTCATAAGAAATCAGAGCTGCTCTTGGACAAAGTTTGGATCCCTTGGTGCAATTAAGTCAGTTTTGAAAAATGGTTAAATTATTGCTCTGCTTTTTGTCATTGCTTTCCTGTGTGGTTGTTTTTCATTTTGCATCCTAAAAGGCACAGGTGGAACATTTCAAATCAGTCCCAAATATCCTTCAAATCCATTTTGTGCTTTGCTGGGGCCCTCAAGGCTCAATCATCTTCTCAAACACGAGCCTGCCTCTATTTTTAGCTGTGACTGAACTGTAAAATACAACAAATAATTGCCACAAGAAGCTCCCTGGCTTCTAAATGACTGCAATTTCTAAGTTGTGTGGAAATGAAAATATTTATTGTGGTCTTGGGATAGTTTATTCCTACTTGGAGTGACAGAAACTGCTTCTGTCATCTCCTGTCCTGTTTATCCCTGGATGGAGAAAGCTTTTTCTTTATAGCCCAAATATTGGGTGTATTTCTCCTCCCTCATGTTCACAACTGCAAATTGATGTAGGGATATCCATTGGAAATGCCATTCTGGGGTATAGAAAAGAGAAATTGGGGCATTTGGAATTTTTTTTTTCTGGCTCCAGTGAGGTTATTGAAATAATGGTGATGAGAGTTTGGGTGTAGCTGTGTTGTTTGAGGATATTCCTTAAAAACTGAAACAGCTGTTGGTGTGTTGTGCTTCACTGTAGATAAAACCACAGCAGGTATGGGAGAGGTGTTAATGGGAATAAATTTTGTATGGAAGCTTTAATGTGGATAAAATGTACATAAAGGGCTATTTTAGGTGGGAATAGCCTGGTAAAAGAAGAAATCCTTATAGTGCTGTGTGTTTTCACTACCAAGAATTAGCCCACTGATTAACAAAGCTGCTTTTCAGAAAACTTTTTACTCATTTCAAACAGAAACCTAAAATCCACCAGAGCAAGCAGTCATACAGAGAATTTGAAATAAAAAGACAGATTTTGTGATGTCCCTTTCCCTTTGGAATGTCACCTTCCCATTTTACCTGAGGGAAAAATAAAAAATGAGGAAGAGATTTTTACCTTAAAACCCAAGATCTGTCCCTGCTGCTCATGGGAGCAGAGAACCTGGTGAGGAAGGACATGGAAAAGGTGCTCAACCACTTTGATCCCTCAGGATGTTTGACTCAGGAGGTTTGGTATCAGGATTGGGTGCCTGGGCCCATTGTCAGACTGGTTTGGGTTGGGAGGGATCTTAAATCTCATCCCATTCCAGGCCTGCCATGGGCAGGGAAGCCTTCCACCATCCCAGCTTGCTCTGAGCCCTGTCCAGGCTGGCCCTGGACACTTGCAGGGATGGGGATTTTAAGCAGTTGGGGGCATAAATCAATGTGAACACCCCCAGGAACAACTCCTGCCACAGCCCAGAGATGCTCTGCTTTGTTTGCAGTGGGAAAGCTGGACTTTGAAATGCATTCCCATAAGGACTGGGATAATATTTGGGGTGCTTTCCTAAGGAGGTGTAGCAGGAGGGCAGGGAGAGGTTTCCTGTGGGAGAGGGAGGGTTTGGTATTGAATTTGCTGGGAATGTCCTGACCAAGGCAGGAATGATGCATTTGAAGGCTAATTTGTTACTTTATTACACTATATAATATAAAAGAATACTATACTATCTACACTAAAGAATACAGAAAAGACATTTACTGAATGCTAAAAAGATAATAATGAAAACTTGTGACTCTTTCCTGAGTCCTGACACAGCTTGACCCTGATTGGCCAGAGAGTGAAAACAACTCCCAGCAGAATCCAATGGAACAATCACCTGTGGGTAAACAATCTCCAAACACATTCCACATGTGAGCACAACACAGGAGAAGCAAATGAGATAAGAATTGTTTTCCTTTTCTCTGAGGCTTCTCAGCTCCCCAGGAGAAAAATCCTGGGTGAAGGGATTTTATCAGAGAATGTGAATGCCACAGTTTGGAGCATTTATTCCATGCAGGAAGGCAACATCCACCCTTGGGAGTGCTCTCCCTCTCCAGCTGCTCTGCTGCCAGCTGGAGCTGCAGGAGGCACTGGCACAGGAGTGCTTGCCTGTGGGCGCTCCAGGAGCCTCCTGAAGATGAAAAGAACAAAAAGCCAGACAGGATAATGCTGCCAGTGGAGCAGATGTGTTTCCAATCCTTTCATTTCACACTGTGTTCTCTAAATTGGGGCAGTCAGAGGTGGGTTGGGTTCCCTCCTGCTGCTGCTTCCCCTCTGATCCTGGGGATCCCCAGCAAGGCAGGAGCACAGCTGCTGCTGGCTGGAAGTCTCCACAAAGGGCCCCCAGGAATCCAAAAAGCTCCAGCTGGAAACTCCACAGTGAAATTCAGGCACTTCCTTGTGGTCTAAACCAGCTGGAGATGGGGCATCAGGATGTTCTGCATTGTACACTGCACTTTAATCAATCCCAGGGGCATGGGAGGCAGAAAAGATGGAATGACACTTAGGAAAGGGATCAATATATTGATTTGCAGGCATGTTCACAGCCTTGGGCAGGGGGGACAGTCCCCAGCAGTTTGGTTGCAGACTCTAAAAAAGCAGCCTGGGGTTAAATAAAAAACTGTTGAGCTGATAGGGCCCTGGAGAGGAAAGGCATCCCTTGACAGAAGTTTTTATTCATTTGGGGTTTTATTTATATTCAGATTCTTTCACCCAAGCCCATAATTCACTTGTTGTTGGATACTTTGGTGTCATTGATCAGCACTGTGTGAGAACTCCAGCATGAACGTGTTGCTATCAAGGAGAGAGAGCAACAGGGATGGAAGTGAGATGGAAAATGGGGATAAAGAATTATGTGCTCAAGTATCACTGGCCCTTGGATGGTCCCTAAAATGGAAACAGGATAAATTAATTCCAGTAATGAGAGCAGTTTGCAGTGTGTGATGTCTCTATCACCTGCTTGGTTTTAAGTTACAAAAGAAATGCCTTAAGAAAGTTGATTTTTAGGCTGGACCTCTTCTTCCTCCTGGAAAAAATGGGAACATTTGGGGGAATTTATTTGGTTGTACTGTACCAGCCCTCCTGAATGCTGATGAAATGTAATTATTCCCCAACAAAGCTTTCTGTCTGTGAGTATCAGTGAATTCTTACGTGCTCCTGTTTTTATTTAATAAATTCATAAGGTGATAAACCCTGGATCTAAAGCCCAATTTAAATTTCATGGCTGTTGGGTAAAGCTTGTTGTGTTGGGCTAAATGACCTCTGGAGATCTCCCACAAGCAGCTCCTCCTGTGTTTCTACAAGCAGAAAACATTCCTTAAAATGCTGGTGAGGAATTATTGCCCATGCACATGGAATGGTTGGGATGAGATGAGCTTTAAGGTCCTTTCCATCCCAAAGCATCTGTGATTCTATGATTTTATTACATTACAGTATCTTGTGGAAAAGTCTAGACAGGAATCTGAGTTTTCCTAAATCCCCACTGCTTTGTTTTTGGTGTGAAGGGTGTGATTTCCCAAAACCTGCACTGCAGATTGCACTTTGTTTGTGTTAAAGGTACAGGCTCCTGAAATTAAATTCCCAAATTTCCTGGACTTCAAAGCAACTTCAAGGAAAATTGGAGGTGGAGGAAAAAGGAGAAGACCAGGAAAAAAGGGAGATTTATTGGTAGGAGAGGACAATCCAGGAGGAAAAGGAATTAAAATTAGAGGTGGAAGAGATAGGAAAAATCCAGGAAAAAAGGGGATTTAATGGCAGGAGAGGACAATACAGAAAGAAAAGGACCTAAGCCTTTGGGGAAGAGCAAAATCAAAGGCTCTGAAATAAATCTCAAATACCCAGAGTGAGTCCAGGACCCCTGCTCATTGCATGACCCAGTGGCTAACAATGCAGTTTGAATTCATCTCATAGATGTTAAACCAACAGGAGCAGCTGGGATTTGAGTCAGAATCCATAAAAAAGCAAATCTGACCCCAAAATCAGAGAATCAGAGTGTGGCAGGTGAGCTCCAAGCAGAGAAAGTTCAGACTTCATTTCTTACAAGTGGTCAGATGATCACAAGATCATTGGGAGGGAACCTTGGTGGTATAATTTCCTTCAGTTTATTAAGGAATTTGTCCCCAGGGAGGATAAAAAGGACTTTAAT